CCCCACAAAGGCTCCCTGGTATGTTACTCATTGGCAAAAAACCCACTTTAAGTCCAATCTTAAGCATCATGCCACAGGAGCAAGGTACCAGAGAGCCCAAGCAGGTCTTCTGGACATCCAAAGTTACTACAAAGTTGGTGTTAAGCCTTGTTATTGCTATTTCCCTTACACTTTTCTGAAACAAAGATGCTTTTCACAACTTGTTCCATGCAAACGGTTACATTGGTCATGGACAAGTGGTGCTGGGATGGAAGTGATCTGGGGTTTTTTTTGCTTTTTTTCGGCTTTTTTTCTTTGTTCGTTTTATATTGGATTAATATAGAAACACAGAATAGTTTGCGTTAGAAGGGACCTTCAAGATCTTCCAAACCCCCTGCCATGGGCAGGGACACCTGCCACCAGATCAGGTTGCTCAAAGCCTCATCCAACCTTACCTTGAACACCTCCAGGGATGGGGCAGGCATAACTTCTCTATATGAAGTTATGAACATATATACCCATGTTTCTCAAATTAACACAAATACACTGGCTCCAGCAGTTGTAAGGATAAAGATTTGGTTGTTGGAGACGTTTCTACTCTCCACAAGGACTTGTTTCCTCTGCTTGATACCTCTAAGAACCATTTGACCACAGACACAGTAGAAAAATCCCTATGAGAGTCATTCTTCCTCTTCCATCTCTAGTTCCCAACGCTTCGGCAGGGTGTAGCTAGGATTTCTTGCAGTAATGGTGATGTACACACACAAAAATGTGTTGTAGAACTAGTCAAACCCAACTGTTTATAGTAACCTGAGCATAATTTGCACATTTTTGCAGGTGAACAGTAGCTCTCCTAGTAATTATATGCCTCTGAGATGTCTATGAAAAGGCTAAAATGACCATTTAAATGCAAAATCTCAGCTAGAACTCTACTGTATTTTGCAAACTAAATCAACATTCAAGGTCTGTAATGGATTTCTTTGTTAGGCACTAAGGTTATATGACGTATTTTGGCAAATAAAATCCGTCATTGTGAAGCATCTGTTAAGTTCAGTTTCTGTCAGTCAATATTAGGGTTTTATTCCTGATCATCCTTGCCTTAAATTGTTATTGTAAAGTTAAATATCTACCAGTAAATTCTCCCATGACGTGCTACACCGAGCAAACCTGTCATTATGTGTATTATGTATTGCATTATTGCCCAACAAAGTACTTATTATTAGTCATTTCTAATCATCATTGAGCAGCATGCACTACAAAACTTGCACTTTTTTAAACTTATATTACTGCTCTTTGCGTGTAAAAATAAAAGATTTACATCCCTCGAGCTCTACATCTCGCAGTGTTCCTAACATTGCCTTGAATCCCAGACTGCGTTGGCTGATAAAAGTAAGAGAAAAATAAAATAACATGGGATCAAAGAGCATCTTAGAAAAATAAAACCAGAAATCAGGAGCAGCAAATGATCTGAAGGGGAAAATAAAAAGGAGAATATAGGATAATGTCAATGTCTACCGGTTATTTTTCCATTGGCTTCCAACGGCGGCTGCCAGCTGACAATGACGGCCCGGGGCTTCCCTTCTCGTGTGATGACTGTCAAATCCTTGGGAGCAGAGGTCGGCGCTAAAAATAGTGAAAAGAATCCAAACCAGAAGTTATTCACCACCTTTTGAAGTCCTTACACACCATAGCAAGCACGAACTACTCAGCAAGCATGTACCACTTTCTCAGATCCTTTCAAGCGCGCGTGCCCTTAGATGCCATCAACCACGGGATTTGTCTAAAAGTGATATTGTAACGTGGAGGTGGGTACGTTCGGATTTGGTGGATGGCTCTTCTCCTCCTCCCATTAATATTGGTCCTTAGAGCTAAACAACCACTGAGGTATCCAAGCATCTAGTACACTCCGGGAGCCCTATATGATTAATAACAGGAACAATAATGGTGTGATCGACACGCTGGAGGGAAGGGATGCCATCCAGAGGGATCCTGACAGGCTTGAGAGGTGTTCTTTAATATCATTGCGAGAAATTCAACACGTGGAATGGGTCCAAAACAGGCAATATAGATCAGTAGCGCAGGAGGCCCTTAATTAACAGAGCTGCTCCATCAAGCTCCGATAATTGCATTGCAATCACATGGGAAAAATCCAGGGACAGGTATTTTCCCTCTTCTTTTCACTTTGTTAATTAACTCGCGTGTACTGCGGGTCTCATTTAAAACAAAACAAAACAAAACAATCAACAAATCAATATTTACCAGCAGCTTTCACTTGGTATCTGTTGGTAGAAACTGATCTACAAGGGCACCTAAAGCGTTTTCAAGGTCACGGTCAGGAAAATATAGCGTGTATGACACTGGTGCCCAAATGTAAATATTGCTATCTACAAGGATGAAGAAGCAAAAACATCTTAATTAATCCTAGATCATAAAATCGTAGAATGGTTTGGGTTGGAAGGGACCTCAAAGATCATCTAGTTCCAACCCCCCTGCCATGGGCAGGGACACCCTCCACTGGATCAGGTTGCTCAAAGCCTCATCCAACCTGGCCTTGAACACTTCCCAGTGATCAGGATATGTGTTGCCATTAACTTCTACATGATAACTAGAAGTAAAGTCCAGGCATGTTATTTCCCGTGCAGTCAATTAAAGACCCACAAAATCCAAAGAAACATTGAAGTTTTGGAGAGGATAGTCTTCTTGGAGACATCACGATGTCTCCACCCCTTTTCAAATATTTTTTATTCCTCTAAATTAGGGTTACATTTAATACGTCTCTGGTGTCTGCTATCAAAACTGCTTTTAGTCCCCTTCAGAATCGAAAGTGGCTTTCAGGTCATGGCTTCTCGCTCGGAAAATACCACTCAAACCCTTAAGAAGAGCAGCTAAATTAAGCCTTCAAAGTGTATTTGTTTATTAGAAGCACATTGGAAATGAAAAACAGATGTATAAACCCACTAAGCATAGAAGAGATGCCTTCTCCAAACTGTCAGAAGATAATTTCTAGAAGTCAACATTTTGCACAGGGTAGATAACTGTGTCTTTACAATAAATAAGCTGAAATGACTCATTCCTTGGATGTTATTCTTTTTGTTTGTTTGTTTTCCTGTTTCTGGCTATGTCTTGAATTTCGGACACACAGTTTCAGTCGCTGTAGGTCTGGTGGTCACCAGCACAGTGCACAGCTCAAATGTGCCCACGTAGTATTATGAATGGATCTGTGAGTCAAGACGTTGAGTCAAGAAGGATGGACATTAGATAGAAGCACTCACTGAGTCCTTCTTACTAAGTGGATTAGATGAGATAAGAGACAAAAACCACACAGAACTTCCTAAGTCACCATTTTCAAGCAGAAAAATCATTACCTAATAATCAGAGAAAAACTGTTCTCATCTGATCCAGGTTTCTTTGAAAAGTGAAAACTGTTTTAAATTCTCAGCGTTAAAAGCCACAGATGCTCAATATGTTATGGAGCAAAGAATCACACACAAGTACTACCGTCTCCTGACTTCTTGCAATGACATCAGAGCTCTGCTTTGCTACCCATGGAAAAAAGCAAAGAAATACAGTTAATTTTGGACCTATGCTGAAGGTTTAAGCAGTTAAGGTGAAGTTGAACGAGGTTTTTGATGATAAATACACTGGAGGGAAGGGATGCCATCCAGAAGGACCTCGACAGACTGGAGAGGTGGGACTGTGAGAACCTCATGAAGCTCAACAACGCCAAGGGCAAAGTCCTGCACATGGGTTGGGGCAATCCCAAGCACAAGTACAGGCTGGGCAGAGAATGGATTGAGAGTAGCCCTGAGGAGAAGGACTTGGGGGTGTTGGTGGATGAGAAGCTCAACATGAGCCGGCAATGTGCGCTGGCAGCCCAGAAAGCCAACCGTGTCCTGGGCTGCATCCAAAGCAGCGTGGGCAGCAGGGCGAGGGAGGGGATTCTGACCCTCTGCTCTGCTCTCCTGAGACCCCCCCTGCAGTGCTGCCTTGAGCCCTGGGGCCCCAACACAAGAAGGACATGGAGCTGTTGGAGCAAGTCCAGAGGAGGCCATGAAGATGGTGAGAGGGCTGGAGCACCTCTCCTCTGAAGGTAGGCTGAGACAGTTGGGGTTTTAGAGCCTGGAGAAGAGAAGGCTCCAGGGAGACCTTCTAGAACCTTTCCAGTACTTCAAGAGGGCCTAGAAGAAAGCTGGAGAACGACTTTTGACAAGGGCTTGTAATGATAGGACAAGAGGCAATGGATTTAAACTGAAAGAGGGGAGATTTTGATGAGAGCTAAGGAAGAAATTTTTCCCTCTGAGGGTGGTGAAGCACTGGCACAGGTTGCCCAAAGAAGTTGCAGCTGCCCCATCCCTGGAAGTGTTCAAGGCCAGGTCGGATGAGACTTTGGGCAACCTGGTGTAGTGGCAGGTGTCCCCGCTGACAGCAGAGAGGTTGGAACTAGATGATCTTGAAGGTCCCTTCCAACCAAAACCTTTCTATCGTTCTATGAAATAAAACCCAAAGAAAGCCCTTCCAGCAGCTCTTGCTGTACCTGCTTCATAGGTGGTGGCGTGCGCGGTCATGCTCCAGGTGCTGGATCGCCGACCTTTGGTGACCATGACAGAGAACTCATACATGGTGTTTGGCTTCAGGCCTATCACGGTGTGACTCAGAGCGGTCGTATCCGCCGACTGCGAAGAGATGGAGAAGAGAACATCTTTCAAGCCACTCTTTAAGTGGTAACCATTCAAAACACAACAGATTCATTTTTCAAGTAAAATAGCTCTATGGCTACTGCGTACCTTAACTGGAGTATTTTTAGCACCAGAAATATGATCCTAAATTTGCTGCCTATGATTTAGGCAGTTAAATAAATTATCGTGACACTTTCTCTGTCTCTTCTCCCAAACAAAACAACTTGCTAGGCATTTTTCAAACGGAAATTGCGAACTAACCCCATGTCCTTCATCCGTGCCCGTACGAGGAAAAAAAATAGGAATGTTTCCAGCACTTAAACCTACATTTCCAGCCTCTTTGATGGGTTCCTTCTGAAATAAAAAGATTTCAAGATCTACTGGTTTGCAGTGGAGGCTCAGAAAGCATTTCTACCACTAGAACGCTCCTGACTAAGGCTTCCAAGTTCCTGAGATTAACACATATCCATGATAAGAGATCGAAATGTGACCTGGGAGCCCTGCAAAAAGATGCATTTTTTGTATTTTATTCATGAACCACCCTTTTGCTTGGCTAAATAGAATATGTTTATATATTAGATTATATTTGAAACGTATTATTGATTTGCCTCAGCGTGGTACGTTACGAACAACTAAACATATTGATGCCGACGGGAATGTTAAATTGTTGATTTATTTTTAGCTTGATTGAGTTTTTTCCCTCTGCCTGCAGTGAGGAACAATCAGAGCCAAAGCTGTGGTAGCATCAAAGGAGACAAGTGAGAAGAAAATGACGGGGCAAATTGGTGACAACTGAAGAAAATCAATTCCCACGCTTTTCAAGCTACGGAGGTTGGTGTGAAATCCTCCAGTGGCAACAACTTCCAGTCCAGTGAGTTAAAGGTTTTGTGCACTTTTATGAATTTATATATCTATAAATCTAAAGTTTACTGAGTAAGGTCAAGATACATGTGGTTTTCCATCAGAAAACTAACTAGACATTCGCATTTGGGAAGAGGTTCACAAGAAGGCATCCATCAGTGATACCATTCCAATGCTAATCATCAACGATTCAAAAATAAATTGATCTGTACTGAAAATGGGACATCACATTTCCAACACACCATAGAGTAAAGTAGCAATATTCAGTGGAGAGTGGGAGAAATCTACTTTGCAGAGACATTAAATAATGTGCTGGCAGCCCAGAAAGCCAACTGTGTCCTGGGCTGCATCCAAAGCAGCGTGGGCAGCAAGTCGAGGGAGGGGATTCTGCTCTTCTGCTCTGCTCTCCTGAGATCCCCCTTGCAGTGCTGCATTCAGCTCTGGGGTCCCCAACACAAGAAGGACATGGAGCTGTTGGAGTGGGTCCAGAGGAGGCCATGAAGATGATCCAAGAGCTGGAGCACCTCTCCTCTGAAGCCAGGCTGAGAGAGTTGGGGTTGTGGAGCCTGGAGAACAGAAGGCTGCAGGGAGACCTTCGAGCAGCCTTCCAGTACCTAAAGGGGGCCTACAAGAAAGCTGGAGAGGGACTTTTGACAAGGGTGTGTAGTGACAGGACAAGAGCCAACGGCTTTAAACTGAAAGAGGGGAGATTTAGATCTAAGGAAGAACTTCTTCACTATGAGGGTGGTGAAGCACTGGCACAGGTTGCCCAGAGAAGCTGAGACTGTCCCATCCCTGGTAGTGTTCAAGGCCAGGTTGGATGGGGCTTTGAGCAACCTGGTGTACTGGCAGGTGTCCCTGCTCATGACAGGTGGGTTAGAACTGGATGATCTTGAAGGTCCCTTCCAACCCAAACCATTCTATGGTTCTATGATAACTGCGCTATCTATGCCTACATGATAGGCTGTTGCATCACAAGTGCTCTGACAGATTTTTTTCATGCTACCTAATAAGAAGACTTCATGCAATATCAGATTTTATCATCTTCATTCTTGATTAAAATTCCTACTCCTTGGAAATCAGCAGTTTTGCAACTTATTTGTACTAAGAGTTTACTCCAGGAGAGAATCTCGCTCTATAAAAAGTCTTACTGAAGCAAAGACATCACTTATAATTTATGTGTTCATAAACTACTCAGGCACTTGCCAAAGATGGCAAAATCTACATGCTGGAGTTGATATAAATTATTCTTTGACTAAAGGCTGCATTTCAATATAGGGAATAACAATTTTCTCGCCCAGAATATTTTCGCAAGAATTGAAATGATTTACGGCATGAAATGCTCCTCAGCATGAGTGAGGGTTAACCAAATCTGATAACTATCACTATGGAAGTGCTCAGATATTAAATACGATCAGGAAAAATGCAGCGGTAAAATACCAATAGGGTTTGAACCTATTCCTAGACAAAACAGCCTTTAGTGGAACATAAAGACATTGGGTTCTTTTTCGTAAAAAGAAAGTTATTTGTCTCCAGCTGAGTGTTTTTCTTTGACTGTTCTGCTCAGGACTAAATATTTGCATTTCAATAGTCGCCAACTTCCTTGAAGTGAATATCCCATTGAGATGAAGGGGGTGTAACTGTAGCAAGTACCTTTAGTAATGCTACGCCACGCCTGTTTGGGACGGTTTGGACAACGTTGGCAGGGTAGAGTGAAATTACTAGAGTGAAGTTACAGGCCAGTCAGTCTCACCTCTGTGCCCGGCAAGATCATGGAGCAGATCCTCCTGGCGACTATGCTAAGGCACATAGAAAATAAGGAGGTGATTGGTGACAGCCAACACGGCTTAACTAAGGGCAAATCCTGCCTGACTAATTTGGTGGCCTTCTATGATGAGGTTACAGCACTGACGGATTGGGGAAGAGCAACTGACATTGCCTACCTGGACTTATCCAAAGCATTTGATACTGTCCCACACGACATCCTTATCTCTAAAGTGGAAAGACGTGGTTTTGATGGATGGACCACTTGGTGGATAAGGAATTGGCTGGATGGTCATTCTCAAAGAGTTGTGGTCAATGGTTCAATGTCCATGTGGAGGCCAGTGACGAGTGGTGTTCCTCAGGGGTCGGTACTGGGACCAGTGCTATTTAACATCTTTGTTGGAGACATGGACAGCGGGATTGAATGCACCCTCAGCAAGTTTGCAGATGACATCAAGTTGTGTTGTGTTGTGGACACGCTGGAGGGAAGGGATGCCATCCAGAGGGACCTTGACAGGCTGGAGAGGTGGGCCTGTGAGAACCTCATGAAGTTCATTCAACAAGGCCAAGGGCAAGGTCCTGCATGTGGGTCAGGGCAATCCCATGCACAAGTACAGGCTGGGCGGAGAATGGATTGAGAGCAGCCCTGAGGAAAAGGACTTGGGAGTGCTGGTGGATGAGAAGCTCAACATGAGCCGGCACCATGCACTGGCAGCCCAGAAAGCCAACCGTATTCTGGCCTGTATCAAAAGGAGCGTGGGCAGCAGGTCGAGGGAAGTGATTCTGCCCCTCTACTCAACTCTCGTGAGACCCCACCTGGAATACTTTGTTCAGCTCTGGAGTCCCCAACACAAGAAGGACATAGAGCTACTGGAAAGAGTCCAGAGGAGTGCCACGAAGATGATCAGAGGGCTGGAGCACCTCTGCTATGAAGACAGGCTGAGAGAGTTGGGGCTGTTCAGCCTGGAGAAGAGAAGGCTCCGGGGTGATCTTATAGCAGCTTTCCAGTACCTAAAGGGGCTACAGGAAAGCTGGAGAGGGATTTTTGACAAGGGTGTGTAGTGATAGGACAAGGGGCAAGGGATTTAAACTGAAAGAGGGCAGATTTAGGTTAGATATAAGGAAGAAATTCTTTACATTGAGGGTGGTGAGGCACTGGAACAAGTTGCCCAGAGGAGTTGTGGCTCCCCCATCCCTGGAAGTGTTCAAGGCCAGGTTGGATGAGGCTTTGGGCAACCTGGTGTAGTGGAGGATTTCTCTACCCATGGCAAGGGGGTTGGAAGTAGATGATCTTGAAGGTCCCTTCCAACCCAAACCATTCTATGATTCTATGATTCTATGAAATTTCTGAACTTCCAACTTCAACAGGAAAGGCTAAAACCCTTCATTATAGTACATCTGATATATATTTTGGAAGCAATTGGAGCCTTTAATAGAAAAATCTCAAAAGGCTTTGAAATTCAATGCCAATGCAGAGGCAAGTTCTAAGGGAACCTATTTGTGAGCCTCAACCAAAGCCCCCTGAAGAAAAAGGAAGTCTTCCTCACTCTTTTCAAAGAACAACATAATAGGTTTTATCTTGTTTCTTTGAAAAAAAAAAATCTGGTTATTTCAAGAAAGTAGACCTTCCTGTAAGATTTTTTAATTGTTTCTTCTTCTGGGTGATTGAAATGGACTAAATTATTCGGATCGGCTCATTACATGCTACCCACAGACTGGCCAAACTAGAGATGACAGCAAAAACATTCCACTCTTGCTCATCTCCTCTTCAGTCTGCTGCTCCCCAACTGGCTCTCGGAGCCCTGTGTGGTGGCTCTGTAAGAGATTTCCACCTGCTTGTTGTAGCAGAAATTCAACAAGCTCAACACCTCCGAGCAGGATGTAGACCCACACCATGTTTAATAGGGTTATTTTTGATCATTTTGGTTTGTCACACAAAATTTTCCACTGCACATGGCTCAGTAAATATATCAGGAATTCAAGGAAATGCTATCATTGGCTGACTGGCAAATCATAACGTTGCCTTTCCTGGAGCTTTGATCTCATCACTAGAGCTGCACAGTGTGACTCACTGTGCTATACTCCTCATTCGGTTGGGCATGGAAATCCGTCTCCAAAATAGGAGTCGGATCAATGTATGGCATTCAAAACATTACACTCAGCCAAGTGCCAGCGAGGCAAATTTCTGATGGAGATGTGTAAGAGGAGGAGAGCTGAAAAATCACACTCCGAAAAGGGACTGAAGGTAAGAGCTTCTCCACCATCACTCCCACTTCTTCCAAAAATTACCTGGGAAAGATCTCGAGATCTTTAAGACAGGTGTACTCCAAACCTAAAGAAGTGGAGAGCTGTCCTCTGGGCTTTAGAAAGGTCAACCTATATTCAGACACATCATTCAAGCTCTAATCGGAGGAGCTTTAGTGCTTGATAGGCATGGCCTGTTCTACAGTCCTAGTAAAAATGACTTAGATGAGGTTCCTTTTGTTCAGACAGAGAATGGTAAAATATGGGGCATCCACTTGCAGTAGAAAAACACATCCAGAGCAAACAACTTGCTATGGATCAATATGATCCTTTAAGCAAGCAAAAACGACTATTATGGTAGGGCACAGGAGGAAGGACATGCTCGTCACAGGGAAGGTGGATGTTGTATGAGATGCAAATAGAAGCTGACGATAGTGGGGAAAGCCAACTTCTTGTTCAAAATCAAGCAAAGGAAAAAGCCCAAAGGCTGTGCTTGTTCCTTCCCATTCCCTGTCCCACCGGTATCTCTTTGCTTTATCGCCAGGTTTTGGCATGGCTTTCAGGAGGACTTGAAAAGAAATTCTCATACGAAAATTCTCAAATCGAGAAGTTTTCTTATAAACTAGCCTTCCTTTTTTTGGAGTTTGGGAATACGTAACACGGGTGGCGTTCCCGTACGGTGCGGGTGGGTTTGGAATTGTTATTTCTCCCTGTTCACGCTACGCTACTTTGCTACCGGATCTGTGATGAATTCATATCCAACTGGTAAAGATTAATGATCAAAACATACAACGATGGGCACGTGGTATTAACATACAGCATTTGCATCCAACTAAACAACATAGGCTTCTGGGAAGCAGTAGTTAGGCAAGTTTCCTTTCGATTTTGGTCAAGGGAAGCTCCTAAAAGCCAATTGAGAGCCTTTGCGAATAAAATATGGACAGAGGAAATAGCTCAGAAATTCATAGCACGTTAAAAGTTTCACCTTGTACTTAGCACTTGTCGAATAGCTCGTTCTCCATCGGACCGTGTAGAAGCGGACCTCCGTAGTCTTTTGGTTCTTTGGGACAGAGTTGTCTGCCCAGATGACCCTCACCGCATCGTGAGTAAGTGCAACAGCCTGGACACCTACTGGTGGGAGCATGGGGGTGGAGATATCTGGGACTGAGGTAGGGAAATCATCAAGCAAAGGATAAAAATCAACTTCTAATGGATCAATGGGGTCTGGGTCCATACATCACCAAATGAGCATTCCAAAAGAAACGAACAGGTAAGTTAAAATAGGAAAAAAAAAAAAGCAAAATGAAATCAAAACACAAACAGCCACCAAGGGGCACACATCACAATGGGTTAAATGCATGGCATTAATGAGGAGGAGGAACATGAGGGGAACAGAAAGAAAGGCATTAATGCAAAATGAGAACACAGCAGCAACAGTTCAGTTACATCACTACAACAAAACCAACCAGCACCAAGGGCTCGTGTTCATGACTTGTCTAAATACTTCCAGGCACGTGGCATTTCCCTCACATGAGATGAAGTCAACGTGCACAATTTACATTTTCTTAAAAAATTGAATCGCGTCAATGACACTTTATTGGAAACATCCACAAAGCGGAGAGCACGTCATCTTCCGACCTGATTTACAGACACGACATACTCTCACACGTGTAGGTGTCACATAAGCTTTTTTCTCTTGGCAGCCTCTTTCAGGCTCTTCTTGTAGGGTTCAGGCTCTTGAGAGCAACAAATTCTACATCTGTTTGTTTCTCAGGCAAAACAGAACGATTTCATGAAGTGAAGGTCTTGGAATTGTTGGTTGAATGCCATCAGCACGAGAAACGTGCACGTCCAGGTGCGGAGACATGGATTATCTTCACGTGGGTTTCTTCCTTGAGGAACAAGTAGAGTTCCTCTCCCATGCGTCCATGATGGGACGGTCTTTGAGGAACAAGACACTGAGCACCGGGCGCATGTCATGGTGGTGCGCTACGTGATGTCAGAGGTAAATTCTGGCTCGTTCAATTATCGAGACAGCTGTTCCACGTGGGAACCAGAGACTGTTTCTACTGAGTTTAGATGCTTCTGTCCTTGAAGCACCAGGTCAACTTCTGGCCTATCTTTTAAAACTATACTCCCTGAATTAATATTTACCAGTCGCGATTTTTTAAAAATATTTTCAAAATGCTGTGGGTAAAGTGCAGCAAAAGCACGCCAAAAGGTTTTGGCTTGTTTTCCCCCTAAAATAATATGCTATCTAATTAATCTTCTTGAATTAATTAATGAAACTCCTTTTTTGGCCCAAAAAATTTTCTGAAAGAATTAGAAGGTGACCAATACCTGTTTCTGTTGGGTTTTTTTTTTTTTTGTTTTTTACAAACTAATGATGGAAGTTAATGAACCTGGAGCTGAGTTGGTATTTTCACAACTACTGCTCTTCCTTTCTCCTTTCTTTCCCATTCTGAAAACTGAAGTCCTGCTGTAGAGGAGATGACAGAAAGAGCCTGGCTTTGGCAAAATAAATGTGCTCAGATTTGATCAATCAAGATAATTCAGCTTCTGAAACACGTCACCACTGACCTGAGCAAAAGGGAAACATCTATAATCCTCCAAGGGCTGAAAATAGGTCCCTAAATACCACCTCCATTTCCCACCAACGTTGCAATTATTTGCATGTGGACACATGTCATTCGGAAATCGCAATCTCTCGACGGAAAATAAGTTTCTTGCTCTCTTTGGAGTTGTTTTGTGAACGCAGCGTGTTATACAACATCAGTTTGCACACGACATGCACCTAGACATCAAAATATGTCTCTGTATTTGCTAAACGGACACATAAAGACATGAGTTTTGGTTTTCTTTGGTGCTCAGGGTGCATCAGCTTGAGGAACACAGTTCCTGTGTTTTCCCACTTTGCAAAAAGCCTTTTTTTGGGATGTTCCTCCACCAATGACTCAGGCCACCGGCTCCTTTCAGAGGCTGCATCCCGTGGGTGGGAGGTGGTGGGAAGCTCCGGGTACAGCCGTCTCTCAGCAATTGGAGAGAAGCACCAAGATGGACTTCTTGCAGGTGATCATGGGGTCAGGCCACCCAGACAGAGCCTGAATTACCTTTTTCACACTTAAATACCGCTTTGTTCCTGAGAGGTTCTATACAGATATAAAATGTAAATCCCACAGGCCAGACGGGTAATTTTGCAATTAGATCGACAGGGAACAAAAACCTTAAAAATAAAAGTATATATAGATCCTGAGGCAAACTCACTGGAAAAAGACTTTACAACACCCGCGCTCAGCCAGAACCACCTCTGTAGACTCCAGACAAGAAGAACGATCAATAAATTTGCGCCAGAAGTTCTCCGACACTTACTATATCTGATGTAGCTTCTTATGATTGCCCTTGATTGTGTAATTAAGCTATTTTTTTGGTTCCCCCCCCCCCATCTTTCTGACTTTCCAAGATTTCTTATGGGAATACTTCACAAAACTATATGGAAAAAAAGTGGTTTTCCTTGCAGAGCCACAAAACCGTCATTTGGTTGCTTTATTCCTCGCGGTCCATCCAAGCCAACGTCAGTGGTGGGGTTTGCTCTCAGTGACGCCGCTCCCCTTCCAGGCAGCTCTGAACACCATGGGTGAACCGTGAGGAAAAAAACCCTTCGTCAAATGATGGTGTCGCTCCAGAGGAAAAACACATCTTGCTTTTTTTTTTGTCTTTGTTTTTCTTTATTTTTGATCAGTTCTCTTCTTTTAACCCCTCGTTACACCAGTGATCGCAGAAAAACCATGAGGAAGTCCGGAAATCAGTGCTACACAAAAATAATTCTGATTTTATAATTTTGCTGGTGTCCCAACAACATATCCATGAAAAACAGCTGCCTAGAAGCACCTTGCTCCGTTACTGCTGGATAATCTCTTCCACAAGCCTTATTCCACAAGGAAAATTTTCTCTGTATGTTCCTTTACCTTTTACAACCTCTCTACATCCTTCTGTAACTGTGTGTGATGACCGTGTGGTTTTAACTGATTCCTTTTAATTTAAACTGCTTTAAAAAAAGAAGGGGGGAGGAAAAAAAAAAAAAGAAAAAAATATTCATCTGGGCTTAATTCAGCAGAGTTATTCTGCCCTGATTTTTAAATATTTAAATCGGTTGGGAGTCATGCTTCTCCCAAGCCAAGCCGCACCAAAGAGCAAGCACTTGTGAGCATCCCATTAAATTTACACCACCAATTTCTGGAAAGGGGAAATAATTCATTCTACATATGTAGTTACAATAAAGTGGAAAACGAAGTTGATTTATTCTAGCAGGGACCTGGAGGCTGCAGAGCTCTTGAATTCCATTGTATTGACCAAAATGCGTTGGCTAAGGTGACCTTTGTGTGGCGAGCGGATTACGAAGCGGCGTTTGCGACTCACCTGTCATGGACCTGGTGGTCGCGCTTTCGTAGAGGGGCACCCCTTCGCCCGCGTTGTTAAAGGCCTTCAAGGAAATGACATAATGGGAACTTGGCTCTGCAGGAGAAAAACAAAAAAAAAGGCAAAAGAAAGCATGGATCGGTTAAAATCAGCTCTGGGATGCAGAATGGGTGAGCGCTTTCCTGAAAAACAAGGAGGAAAAGAAAAAAGAAAATAAAGTTCAGCAAACGCCTGTGCAATGTAAGTGGTGAGCACAAACACTGGCCATTGTTTTTGTTTCCAAAGTCTTTATTTATCTCAGTCTCTCGGTGCTTTCTTCATAACTAACCAGCTGAAGTTCTTTAAGTCTTTAAGCGTGGCCAGCAGGTCGAGGGAGGGGATTCTGCCCCTCTGCTGTGCCATCCTGAGACCCCACCTGCAGTGCTGCCTTCAGCTCTGGGGTCAACATCAGAAGGACATGGAGCTGTTGGAGCGGGTCCAGAGGAGGCCACGAAGATGATCCGAGGGCTGGAGCACCTCTGCTATGAAGACAGGCTGAGAGAGTTGGGGCTGTTCAGCCTGGAGAAAAGAAGCCTCTGAGGAGACCTTCTAGCAGCCTTCCAGTACCTAAAGGGGGCCTACAAGAAAGCTGAAGAGGGGCTTTTGACAAGGGTGTGTAGTGACAGGACAAGAGGCAATGGCTTGAAAATTAAAGAGGGGCGATTTTCGATAGAACTAAGGATGAAATTTTTCACTCTGAGGGTGGTGAGGCACTGGCACAGGTTGCCCAGAGAAGTTGTGGATGCCTCATCCCTGGAAGTGTTCAAGGCCAGGTTGGATGGGGCTTTGAGCAACCTAATCTAGTGGCAGGTGTCCCTGCCCATGGCAGGTGGGTTGGAACTGGATGATCTTGAAGGTCCCTTCCAAACCAAATCTTTCTATGATTCCATGATTCTAAGTCATCTGCCGCTTTGTGTGCAGAAGAAAGCTGGAACCAACTCTGCGCATCAGTCGTAGCTCCTGACCCATCACTCAGAGCAGAAGCAGCTTCAGACACAGTGCTACGTGCAGAGCTACATGGATTTGAGGGATACATCCAGCCCTGCATAGCCCTTCCCGATGACAATCTGTTGTCCCAGGGATGAGGTGGAATGAGACAGTTGAAGGTCACCAGTGTTGCATTGCCTTGACATCCCCAACCCATGGCAGTGAACCGCAGGCGTCCAGCTCTCCAGATTTGCTTGGGTGGAACTTGTGCTCCTGAACGCAACCCATAACAGGTCATGCACCCCGCTCATGGCTTTACGGACGCTAAGCAAAAAGCCTCCCGCCCTAATTTCTTTGATGTCCGAATGACATCGGTAACAGCCATTTTACCACGTTTTACCTCACTGAGAACTTCTCCCACTATGTTGTAAATCTGAAGGACGCAGCAGACAACAAATAATACATGGGAATTAACTTCGTGCTGCGCTGCTTCATGTATCCTAGTTTACTAAGAGGCTACTCTAAACATATCCCTAAATAAAACCAAAGTGAAACAAGCAGGTCATGGTTTTTGCTACTGTTTTCCAAAGAAACCAACGCAGCCCATTTTCCTGATTTTTTTTTTTTCCATGCAAATTGCTTCATTCCTCTTCACCCTGCTTTGTTTTGTTTTGTTTTTTTTTTGAATTGTTAATTCTATTTGTTCAGAAGAAAAATCACAGCTGGATACTCCAAGTGCTCATCTACCTGCCAAGGATCGGAAGCGCCTCCACAAAGTTCTTCGCTGAGAAAGAACCAACGTTTGTATGTGAGGAGGCATTTATTACCATGATATTGCAAAAGACCTGCTGCAGAATTCCATATTTTGTCTAAATTAACCCCAAATCAGCTCAGCATGATTAATACTATCAGAGCCAATCCGGAATGAGTAAATAATCTTTAAGTACTCATTGCATATTGTTACTAACACCCTTTACACCCACGTATTTCGTACTTAATTTTAGGTCCTGAGGAAATAGCGACGTATTTGTTTTAATATTCTGGTGACTTCTCTGCTTCTATCGCCAAAGAGCTCAACTTTAAAAACTGCCAAATGAATGACTGGTGCATTAATAACTCCCCGCACTAAGTATCGTACGGTTATTAATTCAGCTGGTTCTCACTGTAATATCATTAGTCATAACGAAAATTACTTTGTATTCGCAGAGCTGTAGTATATATTTTCATCTGATTTCCACTACAGATTAGCATACTACTTTTAATTTCTAATTTCACTAAGTGTTGTAACTCTCCAGATTCCGCATGAAGATTTATTTGTCGAGACACAAAGTCATTATTTAGCTGAGCAGCTAATAATGTCACATTCGGTAGTATCTGCAGAAGCAAGAAATTCATCTGCACAGTCTAGACTGACTCCATCTCCTCCTTCTACCCATGTTCCAGATGTTCTATCTATTAAGGAGTTTGGAAAGACAACTGACAGAGTGATGCAAGAGGTTAATACGAATCATTCACTAGGGCAGACTTTGGTGAATGGAAGGAAGGATACCAAAAGATGAACTTTTAGGACTTTGAGATGTATCAGGTATTTGCTAACACCAGCAGCGAACTCAGTGACTACCCCACCTGCAGTACTGCATTCAGCTCTGATGTCCTCAACAGAAGAAGGACATGGAACTGTTGGAGCGAGTCCAGAGGACGCCACAAAGATGATCTGAGGTCTGGAGCACCTCTCTCCTCTGAAGACAGGCTGAGACAGTTGGGGTTGTTGAGCCTGCAGAAGAGAAGGCTCTGGGGAGACCTTCTAGCAGCCTTCCAATGCCTAAAGTGGGCCTACAAGAAAGCTGGAGAGGGACTTTTGACAAGGGCGTGTAGTGATAGGACAAGGGGCAATGGATTTTAGCTGAAAGAGGGGAGATGTAGATTAGATCTAAGGAAGAACTTCTTCACTATGAGGGTGGTGAGGCAGTGGACCAGGATGCCCAGATAAGCTGTGGCTGCCCCATCCCTGGACGTATTCAAGGGCAGGTTGGATGAGGCTTTGGGCAACCTGGTGTAGTGGCAAGTGTCGCTGCTGATAGCAGAGGGTTTGGAACTAGATGATCTTGAAGGTCCCTTCCAACCCAAACCATTCTACGATTCTATGAATGAAGAAGACCGCTAGAGACAGACAGTGTAGTCACCCTATCGCTTTCCAGCTTTCTGTAAATTAGGCACGTGATTTAGTTTATAAGGGCTGTCCCTATAATGACTGAAGAGACAAGCACCTCTGAAGGACATTTCATCCCATGGTATTTAAGAAATTTAAGATGAATCAGCCTATAAGGGCTGGTTCATATCTCCACGGATTACAACCAGAGCACACACACTGGACTTCACTTGGCTTAAATTATAAATAACAAGACATTAGTCAGAAAAGAATGTCGAAACCCACCCAAACCCCATATAACTGTCATGTCTAATCAAAATACATTGTGAATTCCCAACAATGAATAGGGAAAACCAAGTGATTTACTATCCGTTTGACCAAGAAAAATATACTCACAGAATTTGAGAAATCAGGTGGAAAAACGTGGTAAGTCCATGGAAAATATAAAAACGGAGACCATACAGCACATAATCCATTACAACTGCCCATATAGCGCAATATAGAGTCCATCAAAGTTTAGAAATTCAACATTGACTGAATTATGATTTATGTTTATAACATTGGGTTGGGTGAGGTCACATTTGCAAAAATGAGCGAAGACAGGGACGACGATGTGATTTGCACCTTTCCATTAAAAACACGAAAAATTCCGGTGCTTGATTTGAGCGGCTGCCAACTGGGGCAATAAATAATTGCCTGAGTCTCCTCTTTAGGTTAAGAGGGGAAAAAAAGGCAATTGGCCACATTATGGTGTTTGAACCCGGCATTAAGAGTTTGGTTTAGTCCAACCCCATGAAAAAGTGAAAAAGCATTCATATTATTGTGAACGCTTTTGGAACCGCGTTGTATATTAATAACACTTACGGGGTCATTCCGGTGCTCTTGGTGGGAAAATGTCACTGATCAGAGTGGGAGTTCAAATGAAAAAAGCTTTTTAGTGTAAACTTACTATGAAGTGCAGCAGCTAATGGAACAGAAAGGTCATTAGTGCTCCTGGTACAAACAACACAAAGAAACGGGGGCTTTGGAGATGACAATTGCAAGAATTCAGAGGTAAAATCTGAATTTTTCTCCATCTATAACAACAACATTACTATCTGTATTTCCTATGAGTAGGAGAAGGAGAGAATTATACTTTTTTCTTTTTTTTTTTTTTTTCCTGGCAGAAGAAATCTCTTCTTGCCTTTGAAGAAGCTGAGCAAAGAACTCAGCTTTAATTAGAGCATCAGCCAAGAATCCCCACGTCGGTGTTGGTGGGAAATAAACTTGTGTTCAGCAGTTCAACTTAAAAAGAAAAAAAAAGACCAGAAGTTCAAACTAAGCATGAGCAACATTGATTTCTTCTACTGATAGATGTTGTTATGGGAAAGAAAATAATCAGCAAACAGCAACTCAAGATACCACCATTGTCTTCTTCTTTAAGAGTTGTTCTACAGCCCTTACACGGGGTCTTTTGACAAACGTTGAGTTCTCATGTATAATTTAATTTCCTCCTCAAACTAGAAACAGAAAAGAAATGCTTGACAACTAGATGTCAACTCCACTCCAAGGAAAGCTCCTTGCCTTAAACTACAGTGTTGGCAAGAGGGTTATGCACTCCAGATCAGCTCCTTTTTCTCTCAAATAAAAATTCGTTCTCAAGTCCTCTTAAATTCCTGTTTTATTAATCACCTGACATGAGGGACCTGCTGAGTGCTCTACAGATTGGTACCCTGGGAGAGCCGTAGCTAAGATGAGGTCTCCTGATCATCATGAAGATGTTGCTTATCCCCTCATACCACTCAGAGCTACTGTCTTCCACTTAAAAAAAAACATCTGAAGTTCTTCTAACGCAACGTGGCCGATAAAATAGCAACAAAGACAAGTTATACGCCCAACAATCTTCTCCCAATGCCTTTGTCAGTGCCTTTCCTGATCGTAACCAAAACCGAAGTAGCAGTTCATTGAGACCTGATCCCTTTTACTCTGCTTAAGCATCAGT